AGTCGTCCGATTACTTTGTTGCATATACTAGAAATCCATTTAACTTATTTCTTAAGTATTTTAATCAATATTTTGTGGGAGTCATATTTATATGGGGAAATAGCTAAAAATGACCTACAATTTTATTTTAAATGTAAAAGTACACCCCTTATCTCATGTTTGGCAAAAGTAACCCAAGAGTGTAGTGAAATTACAATTACACCCCTTATGACCAAAGAAAAAATGGATGCCACAATTACCATCTTAACCTTCCGAGAAGTCTACTCTGTAATAAAGAAGTCTACTCCATTAGTAGACTTCAATTGAAGTCAACTTTAGATATTCTGTAGACTTCAATGGAAGTCTACTTACTAATTATATATGAAATTTAAATTTATAAATTAACAAAAAATAGTTTGATTGAACATTTGTATTCATGACCAAAGTATAAATAATTGTGAAGTATAAGAATTAAAATTTCACAAATTTCATAAATTAAAGTAACAAAGATATATTAGGTTATAAATATCATACCAGTAGACTTCAATTGAAGTCTACTTACTAATTACATATGAAATTTAAATTTATAAATTAACAAAAATTAGTTTGATTAAAATTTTGTATTCATGACCATACTATAAGAAATTGTGAAGTATAAAAAATAAAATTTCACAAATTATAAAAACAAAGATAAATGTGTTTTGAAAACTAAACATATGTTTTGATATTGATGTAGTGACATGTTGGTAGTTATTTTTTGTTTGATATTTATAGTTTCATGAGTTTATGTTGTAATGGCTTAGATTGAGGTATTTATATTTGGGACCTTTTATATTTATGGATTTACGGTTTAAAGTGAATAATTTTTTAGAGATTATAGTTTAGGGTTTSATGGTTTAAGGTTTTATAGTTTAGGGTTTTGTGGATGGTAAATTTAGAGGTGTGTGTGGTTTAGGGTTTTATGGATGTTAAATTTGAAGGTATGTATGTTATATTTGGAGTTACAAATATGGGCAATAGTTTGATATCATAAGTTGGAAACATGAT